GAATAAAATTAAAAAACAACATTATATACAAGTACCATTTTGGATTTCCCCAGATGAAACACTAACACACCCAAATTTAGTAGATTGGACTAAAATAATCAGATATAGTGATATAATAAATGAGAGGGGAACACTAAAAACCAAATACGAAGTGGAACAGGATTTAGGTAGGGAAGTGCAATGATGGGTATATCTACAGATAAGATCAAAGTATACAGAGGAGATAAAAAAGGATCAAGTCCTACTAGAACAAACTGAACTAGATAAAATTCTATTAGGGAATGAACGAAAACCAATCAGTAGATTATATAAATTTCTATTACGGTATAAAATGGAAGGGGAAACAGTGAAAGACACGATGATCAAATGGGCAAAAATTTTAACCATGTGATAGAATTAGAGAAGTGGGAGAAGATGTGGAAAACGAATATGAGATTGACAATTGCGACGGCATACAAGGAAAACCAGATGAAAATGTTTCATAGATGGCACCTCCCCCCAGCCAGAATTGCGAAAATGTTCCCTAGCAACTCCTCGAAGTGTTGGAAGTGCAAAACTAGTTATGGAACTGTTACGTCCGGACGGCAAGCACGGACGGCCAATTGAGCAGCCGATTGGTCCGTGTGCTGGCAGGCAGCCGGCGGGAAATTGGTGGCTCCTGATTGGCCCAGTTTCTGACAGCTGAGTATAAAAGAGCTGTCAGTGCCTCAAAAGCTGCTCGCTCTCCATGGTAGTTAGCTAACCAGAGCAAGTCACTGTTAGCTGTTATTGTTAGCCAATAAACATGTTATGAAGTGTTTATCCTGCCTTGCCTCCCTTCTTTAGCCTTTGTTTTGTGAATAGAACAACTGGCGACGAAGGTGGGATTACTCTGAGGCGGCAGGTCGAGCAAAGCCACTACAAGAGCTGAAGCACTGAGCTGAGCCACAGCGACGAGACGTCGCAAATTCTAAGATCTGACACTGTTCTTCAGGAAGATGTCCACCCTATCTACATTCGCGCCTTTCAACCAGGCAGTAGAGACCTGGGATTCCTTCTTCAACCGTTTTAACTGTTTCCTGGTCGCAAATGACTATAAAAGTCTGCCAGGGGATAGAAAGTTAGTTGTTTTCCTCAGTGTCTGTGGGCATGATATGTTTGAGACAGCTAGGACACTATTAACACCTCAGACAGTCCATAAAGTTAATAGTAAATATTAACACACAAACTAATAACAATAGTAATAATATAGTAACAGTAATAAGAATATAGCCAAAAAGCTTAAACTAAATTTCTTCTTACAATAGATTATTTACATTTTTATCAATTATTATGGTTATGATTATATACATCTTTATTTTCAATAGTAACAATATTAACATTCATAATCTTACATTCTCTAATTTCTACCTCTTTTCTCTATCCGTTCATAAAATTTATTCTATGTCCGATAGTATTCTCGGCAGGGAAATCCAGTGGGTTCTGACAGGTTCTGGAGAACCGGTAGCGGAAATTTTGAGTAATTTGGAGAACTGGCAAATACCACCTCTGACTGGCCCCAGAGTGGGGGGGAATGGAAATTTTGCAGTATCCTTCCCCCAGGAATGGGAAGGGAATGGGGATTTTGCAGTATCCTTCCCCTGCCATGTCCACCAAGCCACGCCCACAGAACCGGTAGTAAAAAAAATTGGATTTCACCACTGATTCTGAGTCTTCTTTATCTTTAATTTTTTAAAGTTAGTCTGTCCATTTTGGTACAGTTTTTCCCAAATTTTTCGGATTACCACCTCATCGGGTGAGGTGTTCACATTTTTCCAGTATTGAGCACATATGATCCTTGCTTCTGTCAATATATGTAACACTAAGTATGTGGTCCCTTTATAAAATTAATAAATTTTATAAATAAATTAAATAAATAAAATCTGAGGAATTTGCAGCAAGCTGAGGCGGGAGCCGCAAGGCCATTAGTCCATTTCAGAACTGAAACAAAAAACAAAAATCAAAAACCCAAACCCAAACCCAACTTTATTAAAGGCACCAAAAGAAAACAAGTTTCCACTCACACAACACCCTGTTTAAATATAAATAAACCTAGCCTAATTCTAAACAGAGGTAAACTGCTCCATTTCTAATCATGCCTGAGGCAATCCCTCCTGCAGATTCCATCCAACTCCCTCACAAAAGGAGCCCAAACTTTTCCCGCCAAAATCTCAGAACCTCCCTCTCTTTTTTGATTGGCTATCAGTGATCATGTGATTCTCTCTGGGTACATCAGGCTGTTCCTGCTGCAATTATAATGAAACTGAAAGGAGCTAACATAATCTAAAAATCAAAAGAATAATCCAAATAACATATTAAGAGGAGAGTTAAAAAAAATATGGAGTCTTGAAAATGGGACAAGTTATAATTTTTAGTTCAATATGTAACTATTTTGCAGTGTTATTTTGCCAGGAAGTTGTCTCTTTGTAAAGGAAATGTGCTTTGAATCCAATTAAGGAGGGAATATTTTTAGGAAAGAAAATATTGCTTTAGCCTACTCTGATGTCACTCCTCAAAGGATCCAACCCTGCAGTGTGTTTGTAAATAAACAAAACCTAACCTAACAGTAACAGAGTTGGAAGGGATCTTGGAGGTCATCTAGTCCAACCCCCTGCTCACGCATATTGAAGAACAAGCTACTTTATTGCTGTTTCCTTGAAAGGAAATCAAGCCAGGATCAGGACCTTGGCTTTGGAATAAATAATTCTTTGGGGAAATAAGGGGCACATGACAATATGGATTAATGCAGCTAACAAAAAACCAGAAAAAAACAGGTGGGCAGAAGACATCCTCAGAAATATTGTTTTATTGGGAAATAGCACTTCTTTGATAATCGATAGGCTGTGCAACCCCCTGAAATGCTAGTGCGCACACTCCAGAACATAGATGGAGTTTCCCTCTTGTAAATCTACAATAGAGTCCTTTGTGCTTTGACTGTCCTAAAGGTGCTTTTCCAAAAAGCAACAGATGACTTTCTTGCTTTTTTTCTTTGAAAACATTTCACTTCTCATCCAAGAAGCTTCTTCAGTTCTGGAGAATTGAATGGAAAAACTGAAATGAACTGAAAAACTGAAGAAGCTTCTTGGATGAGAAGTGAAATGTTTTTTTAAAAAAACAACAACCAAGAAAGTCTTGTTGCCTTTTGAAAAAGCACCTTTGGGACCTGGATGATTGAGAATAGACATTCTTTGCCTGATTGATCCTGCAGGGAAACGATCATGTCAGGCACTCGGAAGGAAACTGTCCCTCCTGAATCATGATGAAATCCTTGGGCAGAATCTTTCCAAGGGGAAAACATGACTTAAATCCTACTGAGGTATGAGAAGGGAATGTTTTTGGAGAGAAAGGACTTTCCATGCATTCACACTCTTTTCCTTTGTCCTGGAGTGCAACATTTCTGATCATGGATATTGTGGAAGGACAGAAAAGGATGGAGGATTTAGTATATTATTTCTAAGCTTTACTGCCAGCAATGCAGAGAGGTCCTGTGACAATACAAGAGGATCTGACTTAAGTACAATGCACTTTGATTTCAGTAGGTCTATTTGTGAATCTGCCTGAGGCTCTGAGCAAAAATGCTGGATCGGGAGCTATGTTAGGCTTTTGCAAGGGATCCTGGAGGGAAAGGATACTTTATACTCAGGTTGTGCTAGGATTTTGCAGGGGATCATGGAAGCAAAGGAAATTTAGAATTTTTTTTTTGGAACAATATAGTTTTTCTGTGGGGGAAGGGAGGAAGGGCTCAAATGTTTGCAGCAAAATATCTCGGAGCCAATGCTGGAGCAAGCCATTTAGACATGTACCATATAGAAATTTTTATGCTCATAATAGGGGTATATTTTCCAAGTTTAGTATTATTAGTGAAAATATCACAATAAAATAGATAATTATTTGTCTTTTTAAAACCAAAATATACTCTGTAATCATACTGTATTGTTTTTGGTTATGGGACAAAACAGGTTTGTGAGTTGTTTGATGTATCAGCTGATCTTGATTCTTGAATACTAATGTTTGTTCAGTTACTGTTTCATATTTTTTGATGAACATTTCAGCACAACTTTATAGCTTCTGAAAAAAACAGTGCTTTTCAAATATTATAATTAAACTTCAGAGCAACTTTTTTTTTCAAAGTATCATACATCTACATGATTCAGGTAAATATTGGCACAATCCATCTTCTTTGCTGGTCATTAGGAAAGATATGGTAGAACTTTATCATTTCTGGCAATTCATGGAAAAATGGCAACTGATTATTAAATGAACATAATCTCTATATATAAAAGTGAAAAACACTCACACAGCATCAAGAAATCTCCAGAACCGTAAAGCCTACAAACTTGAAATTTTGCACGTACAGTATATTCCTCTTTGCTTCTAGGTGCTCGCTTAGAAAGGATTTTTTGAAATGACCATCAGAGCATTAGTATTTGTTATATTATTATTAACACACTCTGATGCTAAGCAGTTAGACATCTTACTCCCCCTCCCCACCTGAAAAAAACTCTGTTCCAACTGCCACTTGGACGTGGGGTGGATTCATCCAGCCTGCGGGCTGGGAGTTTGGAAGAGGATCAATGGGGCCAGCCTGAGGGAGAGAAGGGGATAAGATAGGAGAGGACTCTGTGGGGCAAGCCTGAGGGAGAGAAGGGGAGAGGAAAGGATCAATGGGGCCAGCCTGAGGGAGAGAAGGAGGATAAGATAGGAGAGACTTCTGTGGGGCAAGCTTGAGGGAAGGAGAGGCTTCTGTGGAGCAAGCCTGAAGAGAGAAGGGGAGAGGAGAGTTCGATTGTAACTACTCATTAATTTTCAAGCTGTAAGTGTCAATTTATCAAGCCCGATCACATAGTTTCGAGGTGGAGCAAGGGTATCCAGTTAGTAGTGTATATTCATGAATATGTTTTTCTTTCAAGCTAATCCAATAGATACCTGAGATAATAACAAATGTAACTTTATATGATAGTGATTCTTATATACGATTACAGATGGAATCGACCAATGGAACAGCAGTCCAGGAATTCATTTTGCTGGGATTTCAAATGGATCAGAAGAAGCAATTCCTGCTGTTTGCTTTTTTGATAGTCCTTTATGTGCTCACTTTGGCTGAAAATAGCACAATCATCACTGTGGTCCTTATAGATAATCAGTTGAGTCAACTCCCCATGTATATCTTGCTAAGCAATTTTTCTTGGCTGGAGATTTGCTATGTGACTACCAGTATTCCCCGCTTGCTTTACAATCTGGCAACCCAAAACCAGGTCATCTCCTTCCATGCCTGCTTCTTCCAATTTTATACCTTCTTCTCACTTGGCAATACTGAATTTTTCTTCCTCTCAGCCATGGCTTTAGATCGCTATTTAGCTATCTGTCACCCCTTGCATTATCCCACTATTGTGTCCTCAAAGTTCTGCTATAGATTGGTAACTGGATGTTGGTTGGTTGGCTTTCTAGGATATCTTCTCCCAGTTGTTTTGATCTCCAAATTGTCTTTTTGCGGAGACAACAGCATTGACCACTTCGTCTGTGATCCTGTGCCAATTCTTTCCTTAGCTTGCCCTCCTCTTGGGAAGGCTCCACTTGTCATGCAAATTAGCATGCAAACTCTGTTTTTGTTCAATGTCTTCTTTGTGATATTCTCCTATGGTAATGTGATCTGCACTTTGATGAAATCCTTCAGCAAAAGTCGGTGCAGGAAGGGCTTCTCTACCATCTCCATGCATCTCCTAGTGGTGACACTTTTCTACGGTACTGTAGGAGCAATGTATGTAATTCCACAAGGTAAAAGCCACCCAAATACTAGTAAGGTGATTGCAGTATTTTATGCTGCTGTCACACCATTTCTCAATCCCTTGATCTACTGTCTAAGGAACGACAAAGTGAAAGAGGCCCTGGCCAAGCTGCTCAGAAGAATATGATAAGATTTCTGCTGAAAAAGATCACAGTGGAAAAGATATAAACCTGACTGGAGAAAATCCAAATTCTTTTTAATTCATTTAGGGAAAAGAAAGGATCTGACTGATCTAAAAGTGTAAAAGATGTAAGACTCATGAACTCTCTGACGTGTGATAGACAGAAGAAAATGCATATTTACTTGATTGTCTCATTGGTTCAAAATATTTGCCTTTCCGAATAGCGTCTATGGAAATTCTCAGTCATCCAGTCATGGTTGATCCAAAGGTGTTTTTTCAAGAGGTAACTGGCCTTTTTTTATTTTTTCTTGAAGAAATTTCATTTTGCATCCAAGAAGCTTCTTTAGTTCTTTCCTAATAGATGGTGTTAAAACGGGATAGAAATATCTTAGTCAGATATTGGCAATATTTATCATACTTTAAATAACTTGAGAAGTATTTCACCATAGAAGAAATGGATAAAGTAGGAAAGACTGGATGAAGAATACTTTCCAGTATTCTGGATGGAGTGTACAAAATTGAATTGAATACCTGAGCAGAAATATTTCTTTACTTTGAAAGCATTTACTGATGCTTCTGACATGTAATTCCCATAGAAAATAGTGTGCATTGGATATTATTGCCTCTAGAAGAGACAGGTGGCATTCGACATATGATCACAACTGAGCCAAAAGTTCTGTTACGAAGTGAAACAGTTGTTAACTGAGTGTTGACCCATTTTATGACAGTTATTAAGTGAATCACTGCAGTGGTTAAGTTACTAATGCATTTGTTAAGTGAATCTGATTTCCCCATTGACTTTGCTTGTCAGAAGGTCAGAAAAAGTGATCACATGACCTGGAATACTGCAATTGTCATAAATACATGCCAGTGGCAAAGCATCTGAATTATGAGACCATGGGAATGCTGCAACAGTTTGCAAGTATGAAAAACAGTCATACATCAGGGGTGGGTTCTACTTACCGTTACTACCGGTTCGCAACGTGATCACGCAAGGGTGTGAGCAAAGCAAGCACACGTGCCTTGCTTCTGTGCATGAGCAGATCACCAATGACGACATCCAGGGTGATGGGCAGGGCCTCCCACTGGTTTTACTACCAGTTCTTGCGAACCGGTCTGAACCAGGTGTAACCCACCACTGTCATACATCACTTTTTTCAGTGTTGTTGTAATTTTGAATGGTCATTAAATGAAATGTGGTAAGTCAAGGACTACCTATACAACTTGAAATTCTTAATTTTTATTTACATTATGTTATTAATAACAATGTAAAGTTAATAACAACAATCAATCATCAATTGATTGGTAGCACAGTGGTGCTACAATTGAGCCTTGGTAGCACAGTGGTCTAAGGCACCCTGTTATTTAGCTGGTTATTAAGACCAGCTGCCTGCAATTACTGCAGGTTCGAATCTCGCCAAGGCTCAAGGTTGACTCAACCTTCCATCCTTTCTAAGGTAGGTAAATTGAGGACCCAGTTGTGGGGGCAATAAGCTGACTTTGTATAAATATACAAAAAAGGATGAAGGCTATTGCTGAGCACAGTGTAAGCCGCCCTGAGTCTCCGGAGAAGGGCGGCATATAAATCAAATAATAATAAAAAAAAATTAACTGTGGGCCAAATTAATTTAATTGGTTTTTAATATTGTTTTAATTTTTGTATTTTCTGTATTTTATCTGCTGGCTGTTCACCACCCCGAGTCCTTCGGGAGAAGGGCAGTATACAAAATAAATAAATAAATAAATAAATAAATAAACAAAATAAATAAATAAATAAATAAATAAATAATACTAATAATTAAGACAAAAATAATCAAATGATAAACACCAGCCTAATCAAGGAACCATCAAGGACTGTTCCTCCAACACTGACATGACAAATCTTACTCTCTTCTAATTCTAACATTAATCCTAATCCTAATTGGGTAATGAAATACCTGCAAGCAAACGATCAAGCTCAGAGAACACTAAGAATCTCATAGGTCAATCCTGGAGTAGAAAAATTCACTTCTATTGATCTTCTCCCTGAACCATGCAAAAAAAGAGAGAGTACAATGGGTAGGATAAACAGATGAAACAATGCCCATAACTATTACAATGATATGAAAAATGTGGCAAGATCGTACATTTAGATGTAGGATGCAGTTATATTCATTGCAAATCAATTGCCTGCTGATGGTATTCAGAATGGACTTTTTCTCTCTCTTTTTTTGCCTGATATAATTCATTATATAGCACCAGGTCTCATGAACTTTACTGATAAGTTGTGGACCGCTTATACTTTTACTTTGCGTTACTAGTTCATAAAATCTCATTTCCATTAAACACATTAAGTAATCACTACAGGAAGTGATGGGTGATAAATCTCTGAAATTTCAGGATATTTACTATATTCGTTTTGCAATCTTTTACTGGCAAATTTGTAAATAGGTTCCAGTGTGATTTCTAACCAAACTTTCTTACAAACAGAGGTCGTGGATGAATGATCAAGTTGCATTTGCAGAATAATATTGAAACAAATGGCAATCTCCCTGAATACATAGTGGAGAGTGAAGGATAGTTAATAAAGTAGAATTCTTTTTTCTGGGGAAAAAAGAAAAGATGATTAGGGGACTGGAACAGGCGTGGTTCTACTTTATTATCAGTTTGCAACAGGGCTGTGTGTGCGTGCTTCTGTGCATGCGCAGAAGCTTCCTGATGACTTCCAGATCGGTGGGTGAAGCCTCCCACCGGTTTTACTACCGGTTCTTGCGAACTGGTCCGAACCGGGGGCAACCCACCACTGGACTGGAAGCTAAAACATACAAAAAACAGTTGCAGGAATTGGGTATTTAACTAGCCTAATGAAAAGAAAGACTAGAGGTGACATGATAGCAGTGTTCCAATATCTAAGGGTCTGCCACAAAGAAGAGGGAGTCAAGCTATTCTCCAAAGCACTTGAAGGCAGGACAAGAAGCAATGGATGGAAAATAATCAAGGAGAGAAGCAATCTAGAAATCTCTGGTGAAATTTAACCAGTGGAATGGCTTGTCTTCAGAAGTTGTGGGTGCTTCAACACTGGAGGTTCTTAACAAAAGTTGGTCAGCCACCTGTCTGGAATGATATAGGGTCTCCTGCTTGAGCAAAGAGTTGAAGTAGAACAAGGCCCTCAACCTTTTGGGCACCAGGGACCAGCTCCATAGAGAGAGGTTTTTCCACGGACTGGAGGGAGCATGGTTTCACTTGTTGCCTACCTCCCACAGATAAGGCTTCACTTGTTTGCATGGTCTGGTTTCTGGCATGCTACAGACTGGTGCCAATCCACAGACCAGGGTTTGGAGACCCCTGGACTAGAAGACTTCCAAGGTCCCTTCCAACTCTGTTATTAAAACTTTCTTAGATATTTTCTTCAAAAGATATTTTTGAGGAAATGTTGGTATAAGTAGAATTCTTTCTCCCGAGATACGTTATTTCATTGCAAATTGCCCTGGCATATTCCCAAGCTCCATTTCCAGATAATGATGAAGGTCAACTGGGAGAATCTTTCTACAATATTTGAGCTCTTACTTATTATATATACATAGTGAGCCTTTCTACTATCAATCTCACAGCATGATTTATTCTGCATCAGTCTTCTAGACACGTATATCAATAATACACAGCAACCAACTTTTGTGATGAGCTTACCATTATAGGGACCAATATTTTTTACTCTGCTAAGGTATGAAACTTGAAATTATATTTATGAAAACTGTTGGGTAGGAAGAATAAATAAATGAACTGTAGTGGATGATACTTCCACTTTAATCTTCAAAGTCTATCCAGTGTAATTTTGGCACATTCCCATTATAAGTCAAGAGCCAAAAAATTGTCATGGCTTTCCCATTTATTGTACTGACACAAGGTATCAAACAACCCCTAGCTACCTAATTTGTTATGAGAATTAATTATACATGCAAAAAAGAAGTAACATTAATAATATATAATACAGTGTTTTCCCAAAAATAAAACCCTGTCTTATATTTTTCTGAACCCTGAAATAAGCGCCTGGCCTTATTGCCATGCACTCAAAAGCCCTATTGGGCTTATTATCAGGGGATGTCTTATTTTGGGGGAAACAGGGTATTAAATAAAGAAAGAAAGAAAGAAAGAAAGAAAGAAAGAAAGAAAGAAAGAAAGAAAGAAAGAAATCAAGCACATAGTGTATCTTGTTCTGCAGATATCAAGCACCATGCTGTTGCATTATTCAATGAACATGAGTATCTAACCTCATTATTTTAATTCATTAGTATGAAGATAATATTCAGTTAGATTTATCATATATAAAATAATTACATCACAGCCTAAGGTGTGGCTATAATATCGGTGACTATATAAATCTTTTGAAGCTCAAATATTTTGTCCGCCAAGTGAGAAGAGATGACCCTGATGTTGGTAAAGGCAGAAAGCAAAGGATAAGAGGATGGCAGAGGATGAGATGGTTAGATAGCATCATCAACACCATCATCAATGCATGAGTTTGGGCAGACTGAAGGAGACAGTGGAGAACAGGGCAGCCTGGCATGCTGAGGTCCATGGGTTCATGAATAAATGACCCCGACATAGCAACTGAACAACAACATATACATCTTTTAATGTTTTTAAAATGCCTTTTTATGTGATAGTGGCTTTATTATATGATTCCAGATGGAGTTGGCAAATGAAACTGCCATCCAGGAATTCATTTTGCTGGGATTTGGAATGGATCAGCAAAAACGCTTCTTGCTGCTTGTTTTCTTGATTATCCTTTATGTTCTAACACTGGTTGAAAACAGCACCATTATAACCCTGGTCTGTCAAGATAACCATCTGGGCCAGGTTCCCATGTATATCATCCTTAGCAACTTTTCCTGGCTGGAGATGTGTTATGTGACTACCACAATTCCCCGCATGCTTTTTGACCTTGTGACCCATAACCAGGTTATCTCTTTCAATGCTTGCTTCTTCCAATTCTATCTCTTGTTCTCTCTTGGCACCACTGAATTCTTCTTCCTTTCAGCCATGGCTTTAGATCGATACTTAGCCATCTGCCACCCATTACACTACCAGATCATCATGACCCCACATTCTTGTTATATTCTGGTAACCGCTTGTTGGATCCTCGGTTTCCTGGGGTACATCACACCTGTTGTTTTCCTCTCTAAGTTATCTTACTGTGGACCCAACATTATTGATCATTTTGTGTGTGACCTCATTCCACTTCTGTCCTTGGCTTGTCCTCCTCTTGGAAATGCTCCATTGATTTGCCAAATTATTGTGAACATTCTGTTTTTAAGCAATGTATTATTTGTTATACTATCCTATGGCATTGTGATTTACACTTTGATGAAATCCTCCAATAAAGGGAATTGTAGGAAGGGCTTCAACACTATATCTATGCATCTTTTAGTGGTGACACTTTTCTATAGCACAGTAGGAGCAATGTATCTAATTCCAATTGGAGAAAGCCATTTAAAGATTAGTAAGACAATAACACTCTTCTATGTTGCCATTATACCTTTCCTCAACCCTTTGATCTACTGTCTGAGGAACGATCAAGTGAAGGAGGCACTGCACAAATTATTGGCAGAAATATCAGGCTTCATAATGTCAACAATCACAGTTTAAAAGAAGTCAGTCTCTCCTGATGGTACAAAATCAAAGTTTTATTTACTTTTCTGCATAAATGAGAGTGATGTAGCCCTGAATGCATACAGTCTCCTCCCTATTTCCACCTCAACTATGTCACACACAAAAAAAACAATGCAAGATCCTGGGTTTTTCTTGACCAGTTGTTTCCAAAGAGTTGACTTAAGGTAAAGGTTTCCCCACACATGTGTGCTAATTGTTTCCGGCTCTAGGGTCTATGCTCATCTCCATGTCTAAGCTGAGGAGCCAGCACTGTCCGAAGACGTCTCCGTGGTCATGTGGCTGGCATGACTAAATGCTGAAGGGGCACGGAGCACTGTTATCTTCCCACCAAAGTGGTCCCTATTTTTCTACTTGCATTTTTTACATGTTTTCAAACTGCTAGGTTGGCAAAAGCTGGGGCAAGTAATGGGAGCTCACTCCGTTACACGGCACTAGGGATTTGAACTGCTGAATTGCCAATTTCCTGGTTGACAAGCTCAGCGTCTTAACTGCTGAGCTACCACGTCTAAAAATCATAGATTTTTTCTTGACAAGTTGTTTCCAAAGAGTTGACTTACTACTTAGCTAATTGGTGGCTCTAAAGATTGACTCTGAACAAATTACTCCACTCTAATATGCAACTCATTTTGAAATAGACCAGTATTTTATTTGAGAAGAAAAAGAGAGTCTAGACCAAACTTATTTTATAGCATGAATTAAATGGGGAACATCTAGAATTACAATGAAATTAATGTGTGCCAATATTATTTTCTCACCAGTATACCAGTAGTGTATACTGGTGAGAAAAATGCTTATTTTGCATGATGTTTTTTTTCACTGTAGCACTTTTTAATTTTACTTGCAAAAGAAACATTTTTGGTTCACACCAGTTTTCCATTTGTTATAGAATCTTAAGCTGACTTTTTAATTGTTAGTGAAGTGCTTCAGAGAGGTTCACATTTTTATTTCTTGTATTGCATTAAATATAAGTGGCACAATTACAATGGATAGAAAAATGAGTCCAAAGACACAAAGTAGTATACAGCATTTTGAAATGTTAATGACTTCATGAACTTTTTATAGGTGGTGGTTAAATGAATCATTTGGGGGGGGGGGGGGCAGAAACCAGGAGTAAATACTGGTTCCGGCCAAAACTTTGTGAGTTGTGACCCTGTGATGCTGCAAAAGTCCATAAATACAAGCCAGTTGCCAAGTGCCCAAGATGCAATCACATGACTATGGGGAAGGCAGCCATCAGAATTCTGAATCCTGCTCATAAGTAGGCCTAGGGAGCAGAGATGGGTTTCAGCAGGTTCTCACCAGTTCTGGAGAACTGGTAGTGGAAATTTTGAGTAGTTTGGAGAACCGGTAAATACCACCACTGACTGGCCCCACCCCCAGTGGGGGAGGGAATGGAGATTTTACAGTATCCTTCCCCTGGAGTAGGGTGGGAATGGAGATTTTGCAGTATCCTTCCCCTGGAGTGGGGTAGGAATGGAGATTTTGCAGTATCCTTCCCCTGGAGTGGGGTGGGAATGGAGATTTTGCAGTATCCTTCCCCTGTCATGCCCACCAAGCCACACCCACCAAGCCATGCCATGCTCACCAAGCCACACCCACAGAACCAGTAGTAAAAATGTTTGAAACCCACCACTGCTAGGGAGGTCATAATTCTGAACATTTACCAAGTAACACGTTGTAAATCAAGGAATACCTGTATAGCAGAGGTGGGTTTCAGTAGGTTCTGACCAGTTATGGAGAACCGGTAGTGGAAATATTGAGTAATTCTGAGAACTGGTCAATACCACCTCTGACTGGCCCCACCCCCATCTATTCTCTGCCTCCCGAGTCCCAGCTGATCAGGAGGAAATGGGGATTTTGCAGTAACCTTCCCCTGGAGTGGGGAGGGAATGGAGATTTTACAGTATCCTTCCTCTGCCATGCCCACCAAGCCACACCTACCAAGCCATGCCACGCCTACCAAGCCACAACCACAGAACCGGTAATAAAATGTTTTGAATCCCACCACTGCTATATAGCCAAAAGGGTTTTTTTCTGATTCGTTTTAATATGCCTATGCATAGTGCTTTGTACATCCTGATTTGAAATTCATTTGAGGATCTATGGGGGAGTTGATATTTGTAGTCAGCATAAAAATTGCATTAGATAAAAGAATTACAATTAATTAACTTAACTATGTTCTTCATTAGCCAAGAAAAAAAAAGAATATAATGAATACTATACCACCAATGGATGAAGAATGCCAAGGCAGCAATGTCCATAATTACTACAATGACAAGAAAGCTATTACTTCCTCATAGATTTAGATGTTGAATGTTAATATACTCGGAGGAAAACTATTGGCTGATGTTGACATTTCACATGGATTTTTTTGCACTGTACATTGTATTATATTGTAGTTCTGATTATTGTTCACCAACCCAGAGTTAATAAAGTAGACTTCTTTTACTGGGGAGAATAAAAACTTTCTTAAATATTTCTTTAAAAAAAATGTTTGTGGAAATTTGGTATAAGTAGAATTTTCCCTTCCAAGATACGTTATTTCATTACAAATTTGCCTTGTTCCTGAAAAGCATATTCCCAAGTTACATTGCCAGATAATCATAAAACTCAGTTGGGATAATCTTTGTTCAACATTTGAGCTCTTACTTATTACATAATGATGGTGACTCTTTCTACTCTCCAACTCATAATATGACCTATTCCTCCATCAGTCTTCTGGACAAACACCAATGATGTACAGCAAACAATTTTTCTGATGAGCTTTCTGTTACAGAGATCAATCTTTTTACTCTGCTAAGGTATGAAAATAGAAATTCTGTTTCTGAGCACAGTTGGGTAGGAAGCAAAGACAAATGACAGCTCCTCTTGAATCTTTAAAGTTTATCTAAAGTAATTTTATCAAATTCCATCCAAGATCAAGAGATGAAGATCTGCATAGAGTTCCCATTTGTTGCATCTAATAATAGGAAGTCAATACTTTGCTACAATTTGTGATGGTAACATGGAGAAGGAAGGGAGGGAAGGAGAATATTAAATTGTATTTCATGCTACTGAAATAACTAAAGCATGTGAAGTTTCTTCTGCAGTTTTTTTTTCCAGAACAGATATAAATAATCATGATTAAATTTAGTGGGATTAATACCTAAGTGTATATATGATTGTAGACAAGCAGTGTTAAAAAGATTAAGGAATGCTTTTTAGGGAGATGGGATAGTCATTGCTCTAATTCGGGATTTTATTTTGCAAGACTCTATTTCAAAGCACGCATTAGTTATATGGAATCAAGATTCTACTGTATCTACACACAAGTCTTTTAATTGTTCTGCTGTCTGTAGAAAAAAATCAAAAATAACAAAGTATAGTGGCCCTTAACAATATTAGAGTTTACTCATTGAAATGATTACAAGATAGAAATAGTTATGGAATATTATCTCAAGAGCTGCAATTTATTATAAGCTATGTCTAAAGTTCAGCAAGTTGGTTTAATTACTTTTTTCTTCTCTTTCTTGGAATTTTTAAAATGTTTTTTTACTAATATGTCTATGCCTCAATTTGCACTTTTCTTTGAATATTTTATCTAAGATTCATGCTGTTTACCAATATTTCCCGTACATCTTTTGATGCATTTTTTCCACTGATAAGCAATTTTATGCAGACTTTTCTCCAATACATATGCTTTTCTTGAACACTGAACTGTGAGATTTAGAGAGATTATATTTTTCAATGATGTCTAAATTAATGTGACAATAAATCAGAAATTTTTACTCTGAAACTTCTATTCCAGAGTAATGATTCAAAGAATAAATGCTAGTGATAACAGAGTATTACTTGACCAAAATAAACAAATGAACATTAGACTGAAGGTCGATCTGTACCCAGCAATTTCCCAAACTGGTTTCTTCCAGATGTCTTGAAACTATACTTTCTAGGATTTTCAAAATATTTGAAAAGTGTTACATCATACTCTACACTTGCTGGAACCAGCTCTCCAAGGTGCAGCTGTCTTGTCTGAACTACAAATATTGGGATGATCTGTACACAGCATTAATGGATTTCTGCAACCATCCAATGGTTGCTTGGATTTTTGCGGTCTAAATAATGTGATTCTACTCCAGAAATTCAAGTAATGATACCTTCCAACATCCTTTACAGAAATCAAGCACCAAAGTGTGTTATTCAACGAACGTTGGCGAAATTCATGGTTTCTTAGAAATTCTGTGAAAGTCTTGAGTTATCTAGTTTATTATTTCGGATGTCATTAGTACAAGGCATAATATTTTGTCAGATGTTTGATATATCGAATAGTTACCTTGTGGTATGTGAACTTATATGATTTCAGATGGAGTTGGTCAATGGGACTGCTGCCCAGGAATTCATTTTGCTGGGATTTGGAATCGATCAGCAAAAAAGCTTCTTATTGCTTGTTCTCTTGATAATCCTTTATATTCTAACACTGGTTGAAAACAGCACCATTATAATCCTAATCTGTCGAGATAACCATCTGGGCCAGGTTCCCATGTACATCCTTCTGAGAAACTTTTCCTGGCTGGAGATGTGCTATGTGACTACCACAATTCCCTGCATGCTTTTTGATCTTGTGACCCATAACCAGGTTATCTCTTTCCATGCTTGCTTCCTCCAATTCTATCTCTTGTTCTCTCTTGGCACCACTGAATTCTTCTTCCTTTCAGCCATGGCTTTAGATCGATACTTAGCCATCTGCCACCCATTACACTACCAGATCATCATGTCCCCACATTCCTGTTATATTCTGGTAACTACTTGTTGGATCCTCGGTTTCCTGGGGTACATCACACCTGTCGTTTTGATCTCCAAGTTATCCTTTTGTGGACCCAACATTATTGACCATTTTTTGTGTGACCTCATTCCGCTGCTATCTGTGGCTTGTCCTCCACTTGGAAATGCTCCATTGATTTGCCAAATTGTCGTGCACATTCTGTTTTTAAGCAATG